CTTCGGGCACAATGCGATCTCGGGCACAATGCGATCTCGGGTACAATGCAATCTCGGGCACATGCAATGATGTAATTCTTGGGCACATGCAATATCGGGCATAATACAATCTCGGGCTCAATGCAAATCTCGGGCACAATGCAATCTCGGGCACATGCAATGATGTAATTCTCGGGCACATGCAATATCGGGCACAATGCAAATGATGTAATTCTCGGGCACATGCAATTCGGGCTCAGTGTCGTCTTCGGGCACATGCAGTCATCGGGCACAATGCAATCTTCGGGCTCATGCAATATTAGGCATATGTAATTCTCAGGCATAATGCAGTCTAGGGCACATGCAATCTCGGGCTCAAATGCGATATCGGGCACAATGCAATATCGGGCACAATGCAGTATCGAGCATAAATGTAATCTCCGGGCATAATATAGTTTTCAGACTCATGCGCTAAATTGTTTGAGGGCATAAACCTTCGCCCTTTAGATAGATTGAGTGTCATTTGTTGACGAATTCAGAATATTGTAGCTTTGACCCTTCGTCCTATTGTAAGGAGTAGGTGCAGTTGGAAAGTTGATTTGTCGGGCTTGATGATTTGGTCCTTCATCATGTCGGAAGGATAATATGTCATTTGACTGGCGATTGTCGAGCTCAAAATAACTTGATCCTTCATCATGTCGGAAGGATAGTATGCCGTTTGACTGGCGTTTTTCGAGCTCTGAATAATGTGGCTTGATCATTCTTCCTATCGGAAGGACGGAATGCCATTGATTAGCGATTTGTCGGGCTCAATATGGTGGTACACTAATCTTTCAAGCGATATTGGAGCTGCTTCTAGTATAGATACCTGTATTTTCTGCATTCAAAGAAAAATAGTTAAAAGGGGAGGTTGATCTGCATCCATGGTTCGACACAGTATGCTTCTCTGATGTCTGATAGAATGTCCTTTGAAGCGTTGACAAAAATTTTGAGGTCCCCTCAAAATTTCTGCCCTAGTGTAGAACTTCTGCTATTATGATTTTTGTTGTAGATTGTAGCTTGATTGCTTTGAATTTTTTAGATCCTCTCAAAAGTTCAGCCCCAATCTGATTTGCGCGAAGAAATATTTTTGAAAGATTTTTTGAGACCCTCTCAAAATTCTGCCCCAATTACTGATTTGCAAGAAGAAATATTTTTTTTTATTCTTTTAAGGAATTTTTGAGTTCCTCTCAAAAATTCTTCCCCAGTATCATCACTTGCAAGAAAATGTCCTTCTGAAGGAGTTTTTGAGACCCTTTCAAAAATTCTGCCCCAGTTACACAGTCAAAAGGGGAAAATGGATTTTTTATTATGATAAGACCGAACTCCAAAGGAGCGCCTACGTATCCCCTCTTAAACGGGAATCAGGTCTGACGTAGTTCCGAATACAGAGAGCATAAAACAGAGCATTCTTAACCAATATTGAAAATGACAGATTATGACTAACTTTATTGCCCATATGCTAATATGGGTACCTGAATGTAGAAAACATAATCTTAAATGGCTCAAGGCTCTTATTGGAAACTGTTTCCAAATGAGCTTCGACATGCTCATTGTTGGGATTCCGTTGGCGCGAAGTTGTCCAAACATATGATCTTGTATCAATCAATTGTTGAATCTTGTCTTTCAGATCACGACATTCTTCTATGGTATGTCCTTTCATCCCTAAGTGATAAGCGCAAACCTTAGCGGGTTCAATCCACCTTGCACGTATATTCATCTTTATTTCACTGATAGGAGCGATGTGACCAGCAATCCTCAACTTTTCATAGAACTGATCTATAAGCTCAGTCAAAGGAGTGTAAATTTTGATGGGCCTCTTCTCCACATTGAATAGATTTTTGCGAATATGTTTTTGAGTGAGGGTTTTGACATTGTGAACAGGATAAGTAGGCTTTTGATATGGTAGAGGAGGATTTTGGGATGAAGGTATTTGATATGGAGGAATTTGAAATGGTATAAGTGGCGCACAATACCAATGGACTTGGTGTAGAGGTGTTTGATATTGAGGAACTTGTAAGGAAGGACTCGGCAGACTCGGAGTAAGATATGGAGGTCTGGAACCATAAACATGATGTTGAGGAGGATATGGGTAATTTGAAATGTGAGTGTTCTTTAGAGGCATTTGAATGGAGCTTGGTTGATTTTGAGAAGTGGGGTAAGTTGGTGGAGGATGAGAAATAAGGTGAGTGAGTGGAGGGTTATCTTGGAGAGTGGCTTGACTTGTGACAGGCGACTTATCTATGTTTGTCTCCAAAGTGGGATCGACAGAGAGTAACATCTTGGCCCACCCGCGCATAGCAGACACTTCTTCTTCTAATTCCTTTATTTTCTTTTTCAGGCTTGAGACCAACTCGTCTGAAGGATGCTTCTTTTCAATAGTCTTACTCATAACCTTCTCATTAGTCACTTTTCTCTTCCCTTTGTGGTTCTCATTTGGAAGAGAAGGAAGAGCTTTCTTTGATCGTGTATGGTAAACCATGGTCATCAGATCAACCGTTGGGGAAGGGTAAAAAATAAAAGTAAAAACAAAAGAAAACCCAAGTTAGAGTGTTGCATTAATTGAGATAGCAAGCACACTGCTTTAAGAAAAACGCCCTAAATGCAAGGATTCTCGTTGAGCCAGAGGTAAGCCTAAGACGACATATAAGTAATGCACAATAATTAATTCAAGCCTTATTTGCCAATTGGAATTTAGAGAAATAAAAGCAATCTTTATTTATTATAAAATTCGAACAATACATCATAATTGAAAAACGAAAAACTGAAATAAACTAAGGGAAAAAGGGGTAACAATGGAAAAGTCATCCTAAATTCTGAAAATCTTGAAGATATCGGTTCCAAGAGCTTGGCGCCAATTGACTTCTTGTATAAGGAGTGACTTCATTCTTGATCTTCAACACGTTGTGTGCCCATATGTTTTCCCTTTCATCAGTGAACCCATAGTATCCTTCCCCACTCACTTCTCTGTCTTTGACCTCCTTTAGGATCCATATGTAATACTCACGTGTGCATAAGGCCTGTCGTGCACCCATATGAATGGTTAATACTCGCTCCCATCTTCGAAGTATGATGTGGACTTGTGGTTTATCTAATCCAAATTCATATTTAAACTGCTCCATGTCAGATCGGAGTGGTATTACCTGAGTTCGCCTAAATTGGCGAAGTACTCGAAGAGGAGTGTATGGTTGAACGCCTTTTAAGCCAATGATCTCAATGAAGTATCGGTCATCGCCTCTTAATATTGCATGAGGGGTAGACAACCAATGGAGCTTCCATTGGATGCGGTAGCTCTCGAGCTCTGTTAAGAATATCTGCCAGTCTACGAATCCTACAGAGGCGGTGAAAGCTACCATTCTTCTTGGATGATTATCAATCTTGTTGCCATAACCCAGAAAGTTATCTGCCTCGTCAGACCGTAGGTAGAAGTGTTCAATAGCCCATAATTGCAGCAAAAGGTTGCATCCCTCGAAAAACATTCGACCATCGACGCATGCCACTACAAAAAAAACAGCATTTAGCGACGGATTATAGTGACAAACAATATTCCGTCGCTAAATAACGACGGATTAGCTACGGAAATATAAATTGGTCGCTAAATTATCGGATAATATATTAGGACCTAAATTAGCGACAGAATAGCGTCAAAAACTTAAATCCGTCGCTGAATTGAGGCGCTAAAATTTGGCGCCTCTATTTTTCCTACTAAATTAGATAATTGCCTATGAAATTCGCGATAAACTTATAATAAAAAATTTCCAGGGCACAAATCCCTCTCACACAAATTAAATCACTCACTCTCTTCCTCTTTGCTGCTCATTGCTACCCAAAAAATTCCTAGGGCACAAATCCCTTTCACACAAATTAAATCACTCACTCTCTTCCTCTTTGCTGCTCATTGCTACACATACATAACAGCGCCTTCTGTGGGAAGAAAACCTTGCAAACTTCATTGTGAGTTGTTCTGTGGGAAAGCTTGTTTCATTGTTGTTGGTTCATCAAAAGGTAACAATAGTTTCTATTAATGTCTAAAATTCTATAGTTATTTCATCTCTGGTTCATCTACAGTACTCTTCATCATCTTTTTCTAATTTTTTTAGTTAGGGTAACAATAAAGTGCCTATTATCTACCCTAATCTTTGCATTTATATTTATCTTATTTAGCAACTTTTGCATTTGGGTCAAACTTAGGGCAGATAGGAGCATTAGCTTAAAAATAGAAAACTTTGGGCACAAAGATCATTCTATCATATTGTTTTGTTTATTTTTGTTTAACCATTTGATATTTGAAACTTAGTGAAACCTACATAAGCTAGACTTTCACCCTTCCCCTGCTCTCTGTTGTTTTCTGGTAAATCAGACACAATATTAGATAAAAATGTAGTACTTATTTTCATTCTAACATTACACCACTAATTCTGTAACTTGTTTTTGTGGTAAGTAATCAACAACTTGTTCTATCTGGGTTTTCTTCAAGTTTCTGGTGGTTTGCTGTTTTGTGATGTTGTAAAATCTGGGAACTTAGAGGTTTTCTGAATTTGTTAAAATAAAAGCACAAGCAGAAAGTACATGAATTTGCTCGCTGGAAAGCTTCTTGATCCACATATAATAAAAGGATGGAGTACTTCTTTTCATTCTAACATTACACCACTAGTTCTGTTTACTTGATTTTGTGGTAAGTAAGCAACAACTTTTTCTATGTGGATTTTCTTTAAGTTTCTGGTGGCTTGCTGTTTTATGATACTGTAAAAACTGGGAACTTAGAGGTTTTCTGAATTTGATAAAATAAAAGACAAGTAGAAAATACTTGAATTTGTTTGCTGGAAAGCTTCTTGATCCACATATAATAAAAGGATATGGTTTGTGTTCTCTATATACATTTCAATTAAAGACTTCTACTTTAGTACTTCTATGTAATTTCTTTAGTTCTAATTTTTTGAATAACTCTAATTATTTTGTATTTTTTAACATTAAGTAGGAGTATGGAACATCTAAAGCGTAGTTGGATGTACAAGAGATTAGATGGTCGAGGGGCTCTTAATTCTAGTTTTATAGCCGGTGTGAATGACTTTCTCAAGTTTGCATTTTCTCATCCGAATCGCATGAGTGGTGAGGAAGTTAGATGTCCATGTAAAAAATGTCACAACATTAAATACATGAATGTTGAAACTGTTAAACTACACCTTTTTCGTTTAGGATTTGTTGAGAACTATTTTGTTTGGAAATATCAAGGAGAAAAAGAAGTGATCGGTGAAATGTCTATTGATTTACCGAATGATACACAATCTGGATTGGGATATGATAATCCATATCGCCAAATGGTTTTGGATGCAGTTGGATCAAACTTTGGTCAGGGTTCGAGCTTGAAATCTTATAGTAATGACGAACCTGAGTCATCTCATCATTGTGAACCTCCAATGGAGGAAGATCCTAATCCTTCAATGGAGGAGGAACCTAATCCTGAGTCACAAAGGTTTTATGATTTACTTCAAGCCGCTGATGCAGAATTGTATCCTGGTTCTTCCATCTCTCAACTTGCACTAGTTTCTAGGATGCTAAATATTAAAATGGAGAACACTTTGTCACAAAGGGGCTATAATCAAGTGATGCAACTATTGAAAGAGGCATTACCTGAAGATAACCAAGTTCTCGATAGTTATTATCAAACCAAGAAACTAGTGCGTAGCTTGGGTTTGCCTGTTGAAAAGATTGATTGTTGTAACTCAGGATGTATGTTGTATTGGGAAGATGATAAAGACCTAACATCTTGTAAGTTTTGTGGCTATGAGAGGTTTAAACGTCGTGTTGGTTCTCGTAAGAGAAAATTGGTCCCTTACAAAAAAATGTATTATTTTCCTCTTATTCCTAGATTGCGGAGATTATATGCATCTCATGCCACAGCTGCCGACATGAGATGGCATCAAGAGCATACACAAGAAGAGGGGGTAATGCGACATCCATCAGACTCTGAGGCTTGGAAGCACTTCAATGAAACTCATCCCTTTTTTGCTTCTGACCCAAGGAATGTGAGGTTGGGGTTATGTACTGATGGTTTTCAACCATTTGCTCAATCTGGAAGAAAATACTCTTCATGGCCAGTGATTGTCACTCCATATAATTTGCCCCCGGGGATGTGTATGAAGGAGGCTTACATGTTTTTAACTGTCATTGTTCCAGGGCCACACAATCCTAAACAAAAAATTGATGTTTATCTACAACCTTTAATAAAGGAATTGACTTTATTGTGGGAGACAGGTGTAGAAGCATTTGACATCTCAAAAAAGCAAAATTTTCAATTACGGGCAGCTTTGATGTGGACTATCAATGACTTTCCGGCATATTCTATGTTATCAGGATGGAGTACCAGTGGAAACTTAGCATGCCCTTATTGTATGGAGGAAACACAATCCTTTAGATTACAATATGGTGTGAAGACAACTTGGTTTGACAATCATAGAATGTTTATTGACCAAAATCATCCATTTAGAAGTGATCGTAAGAACTTTCTTAAAGGTCATATTGTCACAAGATTGCCACCACCTTTAAGATCAGGACAAGAAATTTTGAATCAAATATGTGAGTTGGGGATAAGGAAAGTAACTGAGTTAGATGCAGAAGAAGTTAATAAAAGAATTTGTAAGTCTTGTGGATGGAAAAAACGAAGCATCTTTTGGGATTTGCCTTATTGGAGTTCTAATATGATACGACATAATCTTGACGTCATGCATATTGAGAAGAATGTCTTTGATAATGTATTTAACACAGTTCTTGAGGTGGATGGCAAAACCAAAGACAATCCAAAAGCATGTCTAGATGTTGTAAAATATTGCAATCGGCCACATTTGGCAAGGAATCCTGATGGAAGTTATCCTAAAGCTGCATATACAATAAATAAGGATTAAAAAAAGGTCTTGTTTGATTGGTTGGAAGGTGTGAAGTTTCCAGATGGTTATGTTTCGAATATGAGTTGATGCCTTGACACAGAGAAATTTAAGTTATTTGGGATGAAAAGTCATGATTGTCATGTGTTCATGCAACGACTATTGCCAATTGCCTTTCGTGAGTTACTTCCTAGTAATGTGTGGCAGGCACTTATAGAGTTGAGTTTATTTTTTAAAGATCTTACTTCAACTACTCTTCGAGTGGTGGACTTGGAAAGATTGGAGGTACACATTCCACAAATTTTGTGTAAGTTGGAACACATATTTCCTCCTGGATTCTTTAACTCAATGGAACATTTACCAGTGCACCTTCCACATGAAGCACGAATTGCTGGACCTGTACAATATAGATAGATGTATCCTTTTGAGAGGTAATTGTAAATTATTTATGCTTCTATGGTGAAAAGTATGTTAGACATGACATTATAATTTAATTGTTTACCTATATAGGTACCTCCGAACTCTTAAAAATATGATTGGGAACAAAGCTAGTGTTGAAGGTTCTATTTGTGAAGCATACTTGATGGCAGAGTCAACACAATTGTTTTTTCATTACTTTGAACCTCATGTTATGACACGTCATCATAATGTGATCCGTAATGATGACGGTGGTGCTATGAAAAATGTTGAAGGAAATTTATCAATATTCACCCATCCAAGCAGACTATCGGGTGAAGGAAAAAAAAGAGATTTATCCCTTGAAGAAATTAAGGCCGCCCAAACTTATATTCTACTAAACTGTCAAGAGGTTGAGCGGTTTGTGAGGTAACATTTTAAGATTATACCTGTTTAAAATAAAAAAAATTGACTATACATTATGACTTTCTATATAACTTATTTTGTTGCAATGAAGCATGTACGTACAACGTTTGCAAGAAGAGTTTCCGAATCTACCTCAAGATCAAATAGATGAGAGTCTTGAATCATATTTTTCTATATGGTTCAAGGAATATGTAAGCCTCAAACAATGATTATTCTTTAAAAAAGTGATGTTTTTAAATTATCTTGTGAATATAGACTAAATTTTATAGTATTTTTAACTAGGTTCGATCCAACCATATTGAAAATGAATACTTGAGTAGTCTTGCTCATGGACCATTAATAAGCGCATGTGCTTATCCAGTGTGTTTTGTCAATGGATACAAGTTTCATACAATACATCGCGGTAGTGTAAGATCAACAACGAACAGTGGAGTTTGTATCTCAGATCCAAATGCTGGTGATTACTATGGTAGGATACAAGAAATTATACAATTGGAATATCGTAGAGCACCTTTAAAGCAAGCTATATTATTCAAGTGTGAATGGTTTGATCCAACAATAAATGTTGGTGTTAAGGAGCACAATCAATATAAATTGGTCGATGTTAATCATCGTCGCCGATTTAAAAAATATGAACCTTTTATTCTTGCAATGCAAGCAACTCAAGTGTGTTATATGTCTTATCCTAGCACAAAGAGGGACAAGGATGATTGGTTAGCTGTATTAAAAGTCAAACCTCGAGATGTTATTGAATCACATGATGAGGGAGGGATCACAGTAGTTGAATCAAATCTTCCATTCCAAGTTGAAGAAGTTGAAGTCCATGAGATAGATATGAATATTATTGTTGATGAAGATATACCTCTGCATGATCCAAATGGGGAGACAATTGAAATGGTTGAGCCAATTAATGAGGATTTGTTGTTAGATCACCATGAATTAGAAGAAGAAACTACAGAAAATGAAGGTGAAACTGAGGATGAAACTAGAGAGGAGGATGATGAGGAGTTTGAAGATGAAATAGATACAGACTAGTATATTGATAGAAATGTGCTACTGTATCTTCAGTGACTTTGGTTTATAGTACTATGTTTTGGATGCAAATTTTTGCCCAGTGAATCATACTAAACTTAATGCTTTCAGTGACTTTTTTTTAAGAAACAGTATTTGAGAATTTCATTCTTCAACCAGTTTTTAATTCTCAAAGACAGATTCACATCCTGCGTGAAGATTGTATTCTGCCTTGTGTTTTATGCACCTGCATTACCTGAGATTTTCAATATAATAGTAGATATGAATCCATTCTTGTTTTAGTTGTATAGTAGGATATGGAGAAGTGATGTTGCTGATCAGTTGGCTTTATTGTCACTGAATGATGGTCTAATTTCTTGAGTTCTGATGAAATCCAATGCTTGTCGCCATCAATTATTTGTTAGTTTCTAGTGTGCTTTTAATTTTGAATTTTCTTCCCCTAGAAAATATGACTTCCCATAAAAAAATTCTTAGACTTAAGTACTTGACTATCAACACTGAATAAGTGCTGCATTAACTAAAAGCATTGAGAGAAAAGAAAGTTAGAGAGAAGTAGAGGGTGACTATTAGTTGCTTGCTGCTTAGCTACTCCACTTGGGTTAAAAGAAGTATTGTGATTAGAAGCTGCAATGTAATGATCTGCTATGTAGCTACTCCAGTTGGGTAATTTTTTTTTTCTTTTCCTTCTCTTGTTTGGGAATGTATGGGATTATGCAATCTTGAGGTTATTTTTCTTGTAGACATGACGCGAGGCAGAGGTCGAGGTAACACAACTCGTGCAAGCAAGACCTCAATTAGAGGTCGAGGCAGCACAAGTCGAGTTTATATGCCTACTGTTCCCATTCCCATAACTAATTCTCAACAAGGTGGTATCAATTCTTCTGTTGGACCAGATCATATTAACCAAAATCAAACATTAGCTCCTACTAATTCGCCTCCTGTTCAAACATCAGCTCATGGTAGTACTCCATCTGTTCATTTTGAAACACCTCATGTAATATCTAATCAGAGCAACGGAATAGGAGAAGGTGCATCTACTCAAAGAAACGTGATAGGGGAGGAGTCTACATCTAGCCAGAACAACACAATAGGTGAAGGTGAGAGTAATAATAATTCTGGACTGCGGACACTTGTTTTTCTTTCTCATTCCGGGTAAGTTTGTACTTGCACTATTGTTATTTATATACTGTAATTTCTTCATGATAGACTTCATATAATATATTTCAACTTTTTTTCCAGTTTGGAACCATCAAATATTTGCTCTACTAGGATATGTGAGTCTTTCAAGAATGAACTTGATCCTAATGGAATTAATTGGAAAAGTGTCTCACAAGAAATAAGATATTTTTATCTCGGAGAATTCGAGGTATATATTTCACCATTTTAATAAAAAATATTACATCACTTTTGAAGGTTGGATACTAATGTTGTTTACTTATAAAATTATTTTAGAAGGAATTCTATTGGGATCCTTCCATTGATAGTGAAGTGAAGATACTATGGCGTAAGAAGGCAGCGAGAAGGTACAGTGATTTTATTTCTTGCATAAAAAAAGGAGCAGTTCGGCCAAAATATGTTCCGGAAGAAACATGGGAAAGTTGGATGAGATTTTGGAAAGATCCCAAGGTTGTTGAGAAGTCAAAAATAAATTCAAAAAATCGATGTGGTGGTCAGAATGCAGTTGCAAAGGGGACTCACACGGGAGGCTCTATTACTATTGGAGAGCATCGCAAGAGACTTGTAAGTATATTTTTGCACACCCTTAATTTACTTTATATGCATAATCTTAACCCTTCAGAACATTGAAGTGCCTTTGTATTATGTCTGCAATCCCGCAATTCGAGACTAGAAAATGCTTTCTCCTTAATACTTTCATGGGAAAGAATTGACAGTTGTTCTTGCATTTGAGCCTTCTCATTGTAACATTGAGGCATATCATCATATTATTTGTGCATTTCCTACAATTGTTCAACCAATTTTCTGCTTTGATATTTAATCTTGAGAATTAAATTCTTGGAGCTGCTCTTCTGCACACTGTACTGATTTTGAAAATCCACGTGTTATTGGTGGGGATTTGTTTATGAAGGAGGGTTGCTCTTCAGCTGGCTCTTAACCATGATACATGGTGGCAATAAGTACTAACTATGAATATGAATAGTAGTAGATAATAACGTATTAAGCGGACATCCCATATAATGTTGTGTGTGCTGGGCAGTGTCTTGCTTTCTGAAGACACGACACTCCACAACACACAGATGGCAAAATATAACTTGTGAAGTGTCTCTATTATTGATAAGGCTTTGTTGCTATAATTGTATAGAACTTCTTTTTTACTTATTTGGTTGTTATGTACACTTGTGGTGATATGTTTGTTTTACCACACACTAAATGTTTTAGACTCAACATATAAATTACTTTTTACTCAATCAAATTGAATGATCGTCATTTCTCACCTTGATATGCTTGCTCACTGTTTTGGGTTCAAACAATATGAAACAGGGAAGTATATCTCAAATTCCCTCATGTTTTTAAGGTATTTAAACACCCAATTTAAATTTTTAGGTTTTGTGTACTACTATTAAGGTTTGAATTAGTATTTTGTGGATGTAAGGTTAGTTCAATTAGCTTGCTTTTAGCTTATCCTTTTGTAATGAACTGCTAATCATGAATGAAAATTTCCAGTTTTCTAAATCAATTTTGCCTGATTTTTTAGTTTTCTTCATTGATTTTGAGTTTTGTTGTTGATAAAGTTGAAATTGATGTAGTAATTTAGCGTGTTTGAAGATATTCAATGCCGGTTTAGGTGGTGGGTGAAGTTTAAGTGCATCATGTGCTGCTAAAGTCTAAAATCAGAACACAGTTTTTTCGTACCTAAAGTTGTGTAGATATTTCCATTCAAATTTTCATCAAGTATAGCTGAAAATGGCACATATTGTTTTTTTTCTATCATCAGTTATAGGAGGTAGTACATACTGCTGCCACAGTAGGCACATCCCAAGGAAATTTTTTGGTTTACTTGATGATTTTGAGTTTTCTGTGATTTTGAAGTTTCCCAAGTATTTTAGATTGTTTGATGCTAAAGATACTAGGAATAAGTATATTGAGGTTGTTGAAAGAGACCCGCGATTAACCGTTTTTATATCCCAAGTATTTTCACATTTTCATAT